CGAGGGATTGGAGCAAATGCAGTTATATCTTAGAGCTTGGCTGTAGACAATGGATCGTGTGGTGTGTCCGGCTGTTACTCTGAAACTTACTTCATTTCAGTTTTGGATGGTGATTCCGTTTTATATGGTCAGATGTCACTCAGGAAGCAATGATAGCTAAGTGAGTCAGTTGTTTAGTGTAATATACATGCCGGCTCTAATTTAGAAGCATTCTTTAAGATAGCCTGTTTTACATTCCATTGAGGGTCACCAGCATGTGAGACAATGGGTGAGATGTTGATTTGCACTTAATAGAGTTCACTGCCATCTGTGTCAGGGCTAATCAGTGAACTCTATACCACAATGTCAAAGCACACCCTGCAAAAGCCTTTAAGAATCATACCCAAGCAAAAGAGAAGTGTCGATACATCCATTGTATATCCATCTCTCAACAATAACTCTCATGAAGAAACCATTTTTGTTTACAGAAGATTATGCATTAGGATTATCAAAGCGCTTTGCTGCAGTTGGGATTTTCTTCCTCTCACCCCTATATTGTGTTGAAAAGAAATCACAATTTGGAACTGAGTTTTATATATATATTCAGTTGCTAATCCACTGAGTTTTCTTCCAGGATTCACAGATTTTTTTAAATTAACTTCACATTAACATTGCACTATATTTCCATTATGCAGAGCTGGCACCCAAGCAGTTCATAGAATATCAGGGTTAGAAGGGACCTCAGGAGGTCATTTAGTCCAACCCTCTGCTTAAAGCAGGACTAATCCCCAGATGGTTTTTTGTCCCTGATCCCTAAATGGCCTCCTCAAGGATTGAACCCCCAGCCCTGGGTTTAGTAGGCTAATGCTCAAACCACTGAGCTATCCCTCCCCCAGTTAATTTAATACAATATCTGTATTTTATAATATAAGTAGCTGGGGAACTGAGGCCCAAAGAGATGTGGTGGCTTTTCTTAGGCCACACAAGCATGAGATTTTAAAAGATATTTGGGTGCCAAGTAGGTTTTTCATAAGCACCTAGATGCCTAACTCCCATTGATTTCAGTCCATGAACCAGCCATTAACTAGTACCTATTTCTAAATGATACAAGCAGTGAGGTTATATCTCCTGTTATTTTTGAAATCCTAACAGAAGGATTATGCCATGTCGACTTATCTGTAATTGATTTCAGTGGGAGTTAGGTGCCTAGACACTTTTGAAAAATCCCACTTGGCACTGATCTGCATTTTCAAGTGTCTAAATGCCTTTATAAATCTGTTCTACAGTTGCAGTGCTGGTACAGACTCCAGCTCTCTTAAATGCTAGATCAAGCACTGTCCCACTGGACCACCTTCAGAAACGGTGCTGCTTTCCTGGCCTTGAGTGAGGCATTGAAAGTAAATAGTACCAAAACCTCTCTTTTGTTTATAAGAAACAGAAATTTAACACTAACGACAGTGAAATGTGGACTCAAACCTCTGCACAGTCTTTAAATAGCAAACTAAACCTTCTTATGTATATTTCAATTACAGATGAGTGGAGATGTCATAATCATAGGTTAGGATTTGAAAAATAACAGGAGATATGACCTCACTATTCATATCTTTCAGAAATATGTGCCATTTAGCGGCTGGTGCATAGATGTAGTGAGTGGTTGTTATTTACATAACTGACATAGTTCTGGGTGAGAATTCAAAGGCCAGGGAGAACTGTTATACTCAGAGCTGTCCCTAGGGGGGTGTGGGGCCTGGGACAAATCAGCCTATATGGGTCCCCCCTTGGGGCAGGGGGTGCACTGGCTCTCCCATGGGGGCACTGGATGGGGCACGGGGCGCACCGATGGGAGCAATGGGGCTCCAGCTGCTCCACGGGGCGTAGGCCGAGGAAGTTTACCTGGCGCAAAGCGGATCCACTGGTGGTCAGGGGTGCCCTTCCGCTGGGTGACAGTGCTGCCTCTTGCCCAGCCTTGGCTGGGATCCCCACACACTCCTTGGCCTCAGCATTCAAATAATGGCGGTACCAGGGTGGGCGCACGGGGCCGGGGAGCTGCGTGCGCAGCAACCTCCTGCCAGCACTGCCCCGGGGCCCGGCAGGGGCCCAAGAGCCCAGGGAGGAGACAGGGACCGCGTGATCTGTGCGCAGGTGCCACAGGGGAGCCCAGCTGTCTGGGGGGGGAGGCAGGGCCAGACAAACCACACTGCCTCCTGCTCGCTGGCTGCCTCTGTCTGTTCTGCTCACTGCTCAAGGCAGACAGCTGGTGTCCTCACCCCATCTGGCACTGAGATGTCGAAGTGCGGGGCCCACCAAAGCACGTTGGCCGGAGCGGTTGCCCTGATTTGCCTTACCCAAGGGATGGCTCTGGTTATACTTAAGGGGGTCTTGTCCAGCAGTAGAGCTGATCAGGAATTTTCTGTTAAAATATTTTTTTCCACAGAAAATGAAATTGCCACAAAATTAAAACTTTCCATGCAAAAATTTCAATTTTGCCAACATTTTTCAATTTTACATTGAGAAAATCAAAACAAAATATGTCAGCCCAAATCAAAATATTTTGGTTCCTCTAACTGAATCAAATGTTTCATTTCAGGTCAGTTTGATATCAAATTGTGTCTGAGTGGTCATGATGCCTCATAGAAGTTGTAGCTTGGGTGCCTCATTCCACACTTCTCTATAGGCTACAGTCCTTGGCTGGACTACTGATCTCCGAGAGTGGACTACAGTCTCTCCTCTGGTTGAACCGATGCAGGAGCCCAGCCCTTGGTAGAGAATGGGGGCACGAGGCATTCAAACTACAACTCCCACGAGGCTCTGCTCAGCTCAGAGTTACATAGGTGAGTGTCAAACCAGATGAAATAAAATGTTTGAATTCAGTTCATAAATTCACTCAGAAATAAAAATTTTGGAACTTTCTGTTCCACCAAAAATTTGAAAGTTTTGACTTTTCACCACAATTCAGGGTGAAAACAAATTATGGAATTTCCCACAGGATAGAAATTCCAATTTTTGACCAGCTCTATCCAGCAGCCATTGTAAGTCAGTAAGATCATGGGCATTTTTTTAAATAGATCTACACAAGTAAGAAAGGTGAAGGGTTGTGCTTTCATGCTGCTCTCTATATTTTGCTTATGATTTTATCATACCGCATGCTCACATAACCCTCAGCTGTGGAACTGATAACAAATGGAAAGAGGCAAAAGAGAATTCCTAAGTGAGTTCCTCATGATTTGTTGTTGCCTCCGGTTTGGGAAGCAATGCTAGTTGCTAACGATTGTAACTGCATTTTGACTGCTAGTGGTGAAAAAAATCAGAAATAATTGCAGTCTTACATTAGATGCTGTTGCATCTCTTCAAACTTCCTCCTCAAACATCTTACTCATGCATGCAATGTTAGGCATAGTCTGTTGCTCTATTAGGACCTTGCTGGCACTGATCCATCCATCCAGAGGCCTACTTTAAAGTCCTGCATCCCACCAGAATGGTCCTGCGGTGGGCCCCCATTGTAGCAACATAAAATCTTCTTGGCCTCTCTCCCTCCTCTGTTATACATGAGACCATCAGTTCTACAACCAATTGCCAAACTGAGGCCCGATTGACCGTTCGAATACGTTACCTCAGATTCCTGTATGCAAGCACAGTGCATTGCCACCTTGAATCTATCTTATCATCCCCTCAAGACTAAATACAATATTGGCTGCATCACACACACTGTTAGTGTGTTTACTCACAAACTTCAGGAACTTATTTGGCCAGAGTGGACCATGGGCATTTCACTGCTTAATAGTAGCTCATTGCAACTAGATTTATGCACACAGGAGTGCTTATTTGAACCTTTTAACTTTTACCTCTTAAGTGTTTCTTGTGAATGAAAAAAACAGTCGTTTGATCTCTGAAAAACCACCAAGAAGTTAGGGGTCAAGAGGAGGCTGTGTAGATCATTAAAGGTGACTTATTATAAACCCAACAAAATGTGAGTCAACCTGTATCTCCTTATTGTGATCCCCAATCTCTAGTAACTGCGTCTTTGTAGTCTTTTCTCTTCCACAAATGTGGCCAGCTCCTTCTTGAATCGACGTATGTAGTTCTTCTTCAAGTGTTCATACATGTCCAT